CAAGGAAAAAACAAAGTGGGGGGGGGGGGAAATCAAAGAACATCTCGATAATAAACCTGAAAAATACTGGAATAATATTGGACATGCAAATTATGAAGAACTGAAAATTGCTTCCAATATACTTACATTTTGAGAGATAATCAATGCATGCAACTGTCCTTTTATTGCTATGTCTTTATCTATGTGAGAAATTGCTAAAATACACTACCTTCTATCTTTAGCCGATACTAGCTGTTTTTAACCTGTTTATCTAAAAACCAGAGAGAATTATTCGCAAAACTTACAGAAGTCTTAATATTAATGGAACTCCTGTTTTGCAGCATGTCAGCTTGTACCAAATCAAAAAGTTGGCATAAGACACAAAGTAACATACAAGGGATGCAGACTTACAAATGCACAATAACTTTCCAGATAAACATTTTAAAGCCACTGAGGCAGACGAGAATAAGAGCACAGAAGTTTTTTTGCGTTTGCAGAGGTTCCCTCATGCTTTTTAACTAAATCTATCTGAAACTGTACAAAAATGAAGTGAAATTTAAAATAAATCTGGTAGCTGCTTACCTGTAGTACCAAGAAAAAGCAGGACGGTGATCCAGTATGTCCAGAACAGGATAAGCACAAAGAACGTCCAAAACGGCTGGAAGACTAGCAGCGGCAGGTGAATGAAGACCTTGCCGGCCACATGGAACAAGGCAATGGTGAGAGCTACTCGTTTGCGCATAATTAACATTATCAAGAACAAGATAACCTAGAGGGAGAAGTTTCCAAATGACATTTTAGAAAAGTGAAAAATAAGTAAGATATTTCGTGCATCTAGGATCTTCAAATACAGCAAATTAAAACATGTTAGCCTCACCTCCATCCCTGGAAAGGTGATGCAATAGCTCATCCTGAACGTCATCTCTAAGCACGTGGAGGACAAGAAGGTGATCGGGAGTAGTCAGCATGGATTCACCAAAGGGGAAATCAAGCTTAACCAACCCGATAGCCTTCTCTGATGGGACAACTGGCAGGATAGATGAGGGGAGAGCAGTGGATGTTGTCTCCCTTGACTTCAGCAACGCTTTGGACACTGTCTCCCATAACATCCTCACAGGCCAGCTCAGGAAGTATGCGCTGGATGAGTGGAAAGTGAGGGGCACTGAGAACTGGCTGACTGGCAGAGCTCAGAGGGCTGTGATCAGTGGCACAGAGTCTAGTCGGAGGCCTGTAGCTAGCGGTGTCCACCAGGAGTCAATACTCTACAATTGTTTAACTTACTCATCCATGACTTGGATGAAGAGTCTCCTCAGCAAGCTTACTGGTGATACAAAACCAGGAGGAGTGGCTGATATACCAGAGGGCTGTGCTGCCATTCAGAAGGAACTCGACAGGCTGGAGAGATGGCCAGAAAGGAACCTCATGAAGTTCAACAAAGGCAAGCGCAGGCTCCTGCACGTGGGGAGGAATAACCCCATGCATGAGGACAGGTTGGGGGCTGAGCTGCTGGGGAGTAGCTCTGCAGAGAAAGACCTGGGGGTCCCGGTGGACAACTAGTTGACCATGAGCCAGCAATGTGCCCTTGGGGCCAAGAAGGCCAATGGTATCCTGGGGTGCATGAGGCAGAGCGTTGCCAGCAGGTCGAGGGAGGTGATCCTCCGCCTCTACTCAGCCCTGGGGAGGCCTCACCTGGAGTGCTGGGTCCAGTTGTGGGCTCCCCAGGACAAGAGAGACATGGAGCTCCTGGACCGAGTCCAGCAAAGGCCACTAAGATGATTAGGGGACTGGAGCATCTTTCCTATGAGGAAAGGCTGAGAGTCCTGGGACTCTTCAGTCTGGAGAAGGGAAGGCTGAGGGGGGATGTGATCAATGTGTATACGTTATCTGAAGGGAGGGTGTCAAGAGAATGGGGCCAGACTCTTCTCTGTGGTGCCCAGTGACAGGACAAGAGGCAACGGGCACAAACTGAAACACAAGAAGATCCATCTGAGCATGAGAAAAAGCTTCCTTACTGCGAGGGTGACTGAGCACTGGAACAGGCTGCCCAGAGAGGCTGCGGAGTCTCCTTCCCTTGGAGATATTCAAAAGCCATCTGGACACAATTCTGGGTAACGTGCTCTAGGTGACCCTGCTTGAACAGGGGGGTTGGACTAGCTGATCTCCAGAGGTCCCTTCCAACCTCTGGAGAGGCTGGACATTCTGCGATTCTGTGATATGTTCCCGGTGGGTGATATAGCTCTGAGCTTAGATCATCAAAATTGAAATTTTCTATCAGCTTCTTTAACAAGAAATTATTCTCTAAATTCTACTTCGGGGAATTGCAGTCTCATATTTATTTGGAAGTGATCTCAGATCGAAGAGACTAGGACAGATTCCACCCTTATGTTGTACAGACCACTGAAATCAAGAGGACTGCAAAGATTTAATGAAGAATATAGTTTAACATTTAATCTTGGACAAGGTATAGTGGACTTGTCCGGTAAATCAGTTAAATATTGTCAGTATTTAATGAGGTCAGTGATTCTGAAACAAAGAACAGCAAGGCCAAAAGAAGTTGAATTGTTTTGGTATTGTTAGTATTTAAGTTCACAGTGATCCCTATGTTGTTAGGTGGAACAAGTCTGGGAATAACTGTTTTCAGATGTATGAAAGGTCTAAGGACTGTTAAATAAATTGAAATGATGAAGCACCTCTGAACTGCAAGTCTAACAAAACTCTTGTGAGTGAAAGTGGATTAGGGGTCCAATACTGCACCTATTCATGGATGTCCCTGTGGACGCTTTAGAGTACAACAGAGCAGCTGCAGGATCAGGAATTCTCTCCTGACACTAGAAGAATGTTCTAAGGTGTTTCAGAACAATGCCTGGAAGTAAAACAATCAAAGCAACTCAGCTCATAACAAAAACAGAAACTCTTCAAAACCACGCATGTGCAATACAAACCTTTCACCTGAATTAAAACAAACAAAAAAAAACGGAGAGCATCAGAAAGAGAACAAGAAAACGATACACTCACTAGCAAAACATACCGTGAAGACTGTAGCTGAAATGGCATAGATCAGAAGAGCCTGAAGATTGTCTTTGGCTATTTGAGTCTCAACAGCATGGGCAGATACTCGTTGCTTAGCATAGAGCCACCACAGAACTCCTGTACCACCTTTGTTTTAGAGTAAAAAAGAAAAAAAAAAAAAAGATTTTTTCCTCTATGAGAGACAGCATACTACGTAGCACCAAAAAAAAGCAAACAAAAAAACCCACACACCAGACAATTTTTTTTCTTTTAAGTCTAGTCTGGTATAGAATACTCAAGGATACTGACAGCTAACCCAAAAGGAACTTCTGAGGATGGAGAAGCGCTTAGGTCTTCTCTCTTGCTCTCTTCCCAGGTGGACACTTTTCACAGCCTCACCCCCCTATGTCCACTTAAAAGACCTGTAGCTCTTTGCCTCTATGTTTTTGGGTGAAGCGCATGAAAGGATTAGTCCGCAGGAAGTCCTAGAAAAGGTTACAACTCCCACGAGACAGGCAACTGATGATCTAAAAAAGGAAAGAAAGGGTGAGGGAGAGAAGAATGAAGAATGTTCTGGACTGTGCTACAAGAGCTGTAAGAATACCCTGTATTGCACACAAGGAACTCCAGCGATTAGGCTGACAGGAAGTTGCCTGCCCAGCAGGAGGCTCAGCAAGTCTCTAAGGGAGCAACACAATCTGTCAGAGGACTGCAATTACAAAGGTGTTATTTTCAACAAATGTCTTGAAATGGTTCAAAGGAAAGTAAAAGGGAAGGCACGGTCCTTAGATTTGTGCAGGATGTAGCTGACCTGTGGACTTAAAAGACAAAGATTAGAACTGGGTTCTCAAAAACTGGGAGAACAAGACTTACCGAGTGATCCCAGAATGACAAGAATTGTTAAAATCCAGACAAGTACTCTTGAAATGTACCTGATTATAACCATCAAAATCATAGACAGCACTGCAGAAAAAAAGATAAATAAAATAAGCAGAGCAATTACTTCAAGGAGAAACAAACTCCCCAGTTCTCTCACTACAGTAGATAATTGTCTTTCAATGGTATTTTAGGCAGAGAGGTATTTATTTTCCATGATTTATGAACTCACTGCTCAGATAGTCAAGGAAATTAGGCACTTTTACAACTCCTGCTTTGCTACTGCCAATTAAAACAAAAAGAGCATAAACACATTCACACGGCACATTACATACAAGACACAATGCATCCATACAGACCGAGATGTATTTAGACAATGACAGAACAAACAGCAAGACATGACAGAACTGCAAGTCTAGTAACACGAGGGCACCTGAGGAACAGAGTGGAATTCACACTCAAATACGTCTGCCAAACGCGTGCAGACACAATGTGAGGTCTACGTATTCCAAAACGACACGTTGGTGAAAAGTAAAAAATCAAAACTTTGCTCTTTATTTTCAGTATCCACAGTGGGTTCTTTAATAAGCTTTGTTGATCTAGTTCTACTGTCCTTCAGGAATAGCATATTAAAAAGCCCTCTTCAAAGTTAGCCAACTAGTAAGTAGTATGTCTGTGCAATGTGTGTGTGTGCGTGCATGCGCGCGTGCACATTTTTCACACATTTGTGTACAGCAGTTACACTTCCAAATGAAGGCAAGTGGACCAGGCTCTGTGAATCACATTATCTAACAGTTAGTTTAAAAACAAAGATATCCTGCTTAACTATGGGAGTATACACAAAAAAAAGGCGAAAACTATCATACTTTTTCCTCCTCCAAATTAAAATTTATGGCATGTAGCTTCTACCACTAACCCAACAGTAGCACTGCTAATTCAGCCACTAGCTTTCACATTCTTAATATTTTAACCATCATATCAAATAACTAGAGCTGTCAGTACAGAAGATTAAACAACTCGCTAGTTACAGTTGAAAAGATAAATGGTCTGATCTTTTTTCAAACTGGTATCTACCATCCTCTTTTTTACCACAAAGGCAGACTGAAAACAAGCGGACTTCTTTTCCTGGAGTAGCTTTGTAGTGTGTTCCCCCCCAAACTGCAGATTGTTCGTATACATGGTTAGTATCTGGACATCTACATTTTAAGAGTAAAGATTTTATACTTAGAAAGAGTAAAAACTTTCCTTATTAGGAAAGTAATTAAAGTAGTTGAATGGCATTTCACCTTAATTTATAAGACTTTATTAAAATAGCACTTCCGCCTGGTGCAATGTGAGTGATATGAGTTATCACTCTATAGGCCAGAAATAGGCATTGCCCAACTGTAATCATCGTGCAGCACCTCTGTGCTGCTGGAAATTTCCTGCTTCAGACAAAGCCAAGATTTTCAGAAGTCTGCATTTTTGGTCTTCCACTTTGTGGAGATGGGACAAACATGACAAACGGGGACCTAACTTTCTCTGTTTTCCTTTTAAAGTTCTGAAATCCCTGTAACAAACAGTTCAGTCAAAAAACCAAGCAGCCCACATTTTAGAAAAGTGTGTTACTGCGCGCTCTTGCTCAGTCTTTTCTATTTGGAAAGGGGTTAGTTAGGACAGGCAGAAGATGAATGAATACTGTAAAAGGGCCAGGCGAGTATCATAACAACATGAGGAGAATAGGGATGCTTTTGTTAACTATGCCAAAAGTAATAATGGCTGTTCATCTGGCCCACAACCTCTATCTCAGATCAGGGAAGAGGAGGAAAAGCAGGAAGGCACATGTATACTACTGAAAAAGTTATCCAGCTGTCAATAAAAAAGCATTCTGAACAGGTTTCTAAGGGCTTATTGCTATTATACATGTTGTCTGCTCATATTGTGCTTAGTGTTAACAGCCTCCTACTGCAGTACTACGAAATTGCTAGTAATGAGAAAAACAATTACCTAGTGATAACAAGCAAAGTCCCATTATAATCTCTTTGCTGGTCATAACTCCACTAATCAGCCTGTGTAAGACACTACTGTCACTGACAAAGGTGATCAGGGCCTCTGCAAACTTGGCATAGCAGGAAATGTTCACAGGAGCACAGCGATGGAAGAATGGAATAGGTGCACTGGTGACACAAGAAAAAAAAATCAGAAAAAAAATTACTCCTACTTAATATAAATGCCACATCAATACACAAATGAAAGGTGAATAGATGCAACCACTCCACCCTCATAACATCATAACAAGGAACTGTGTGTTGAATGCACAGGTGCTGCTGAAATGAGGATGACCATAATGGGATGTGATGCAGTTCTTACAAGTAACTCGGTGAGGGTGGAGTGCACATTCCAGTATATCACCCTCCCACCTTTAAGAAAACACCAAGGCTTATAAAATAAATGTTCCTGTTTCAGCTTAAGCATCTCTCATTCAAGTGATGAAACAGTAGCTGAAACAATGCCTCTCGCTCATGTTGGAATACTGGTCCACATCTGTAGTGACAGAAATCCAAGAAGGGCAGCTCACTACTTGGAGGGATACATTTTACGCTAAAAGAAATCAGCCATTGTCAAACAAAAACAATGCATTTCTTCTTAGTCGTCCCCCATACTAAGCTTGCTCTGTAACCAGAATATTACAGCAACAGTGATTACTTCCATTACTTTTGCTAAAATTATGCACCACATTCTTTGCAAAATATGCAAAGATGCCTGTAACTGCTTCACTGTTCTTAAACTGTCTTGGAAGCATCCTCTCAAAAATACTGACGTTACGCATTAAACTTCTCATAATGCTCAGCAGAACTTGCTATGAAGCCCAACAGAAGACGACACAGGAAAGTACAAATTTCACTTTCTTTTCCAAATGTTTCCCAGTAAGAAGCTGCCTTTCTTGCTCATAAACTGTGTAAGATCTCAAAGTGACCCATTTCAACTTTTGATCAATCTTCTCAGCTGCACTTAAGACTTGTTCCATGAATATGTTCTTTGCTGCAATCGGATCCAATGAATAGCATCTTTTGTATTAAGTTAAATAATCTTTCAAAAAATTTTTTCTTTCAACCTGCATGTTTGTTTTCTCCACCTCTCAAGCTTATTTAAAAGATTCCAGTGGACTGCAGCAGCAACGCATATAATCTTCTGCAGTTTCCTCCTTTCAGCAATGACCTCCAAAACCAATGATTTCCTACACCAGTAGCTCTTTGTTAATCCGAAATCCTTCCAAAATTCTAACCCTTGTTTAAAACATGTAATGAGGAAATCAGCTGCAATAGGCACGTCCTTTTTTACATGTTACTTTTCAGGGGGCGGGGGGGAGATGCCATGCTGAAAATAATGAGTGTATAGTTATTCTGCACAGAAACGGGGAGACATTATGATCACCTGCCATACACAGATAACTAATAGGTCCTAGGTTTTTGTGTAAAATGACAGACAACTCAATTACATATGGTTTTAAACTCACTGTGCTAAGCAGGTAAATGCAGTGGCAGATGCCCATATTGATGCACTGCTTTTGGTTAACGATGAAGACAGCAGTTAAACACAGCAAGTAATTGTGCATTTGTCAATGTTGTTAAAAACCAAATTAAACCCGTAACGACTGCGTATTTAAAGAGCAGCCCACATACCCTCTCAGCTATTTACAACATACCCAATTTTGGCATATGCAGCATACTGCAGTTACTTCTATGAAGTGAGATTGAGAAATTTTTTAACTATTTCAAATTTGTAGAAAGCCTAGAACATTTAACAAGTTTTCACCATCAGTGACAACGCTAAAATTTTGAGTTTCAGGTAAGCAAAGAACTCTCATTCCTGTGTCTGGATAAGCAAATAGCCATTTTGAAAATGGAAACTAATGGAATTAAAAGCATGCTGTTACTAAATAAATGCTAAAAGAGGAACAAATGCTTTTTGTGCAGACTTCTGTATTATCACTCTGAACTCCCTTATTCTGTTGTAATTTCACTACATATTTTAAGCTACCTACTCTTTTGTAATTAACAAAAAATAATGGTAGTGGTTACTATGAACTTGCTTGAATAAATAGGACTCCTGAGAATCTACCATTTGGGATCTGCTATTTCAGTGGTTCTGACTCAATGAGTAGATTAGATAAGATACCTTGATTAAAAAAAAAAAAAAAGAAATAGATCCATTCCCAGTGACTTCTGCTATTTTATATGGCCTATTCATTATACTTTGGGATACTAGATACCGAAGTGGAACGATAAGTTTTTGAAAATCATCTGACACTTAATCACGACTAAGAGCAGCAAATTTCAAGCCAGAAGATGCTGACAAAAACTGCATTTTTAAAGCAATGTTCAAATGAATACGAGTCCCATCTAGTTGTTCAAGCACTAGCATTCACAGAAGAGCTGTTTTCTCTCAGAATCACATCCAGGCACACAAAGAAACGTGAGTGTGGGGAACCTGGATGGAATGCCACTGTTGTCTGATCTCTATAAGCTGTGTAAAACAGCTCCTTGGCATAGCTCTGCGGAGTTGGTTGATAGACAAATGCTGCACGGAAAAGCTGGACAGGTTTTCTCCTAGAGTTCTCTAAACCAAAACTAGATTAGATCTCTAATCCAAAACTGGACAGTGAAATCACGCTCTACTGACGGTGAGAGTTTCTAGGTAAAGTTACTGGAAGAAATACAAACTACAGGCTCATTGCTAGGGAGTCACAGTTGGACACAGTGCTTTGAAGCTGAAGGATTAGAGTCTCTTGAGATGTGGAGCCTCAACTGTAGGGCGTGAAGAAGCCTTGTTATCAAATAAAAACATCAAGGGACAGTCCTCATGACATAAGGCATCGCCATTCCATTGCCTTAACGGGAGTCAGGTCATAGTTCGCATCTCTGGCAGATCAAATCTGAGAAAGGAAGTGTTAAGAGTTCTCTCAGAATGCACCAGCCCTAATAATTTAATTAGAAAAAGCTCAAAACCAGAGTGGTTTACAGATAAAATATTGGCCTTTTTTTCCTTTCCTTTCAGCATTAAAGTAAGACTTTTCAGTCTTAGAAAATTTTCAAATGCCTTGTACATTTTATTCAGACTAAATAAAAAAGGGGAAACACTCCACTGACATAATTTTTTGCTGAAATAACTCATGAGGTAGTTTTTATGCAGAATTTACACAGTATGATTAAAGCTATGACACAGTGCTCTATCTGCCTGCTTTCTTATTAAGCTACATTTATTCAGACAGAATGACACGAGAACACACAAGAAGAAAAATTAATATAATTCTGGCAAAAATTAAGACTGACAAGCCTTTTCAGTATGCAAGCCGACAATGAAGTTTTCGTTTGTTTTGGTATTACAGCTGTAACTGCTAACTTTAGCTGCATGCAACATTGACCTGCTGTGGGGCACTGTTAATATTCCAGCTGCTATTCATTGTTAGTACAATTGAAAAAAAAAGAAAAAGTCACTGGATAGGCTACCACACAAACAAGATACACTTAAAATCAGAATTTCTACAACTGATAGGATTATAAGACTTAATACAGCTGTAACAGAAAATGGTGCAATTGTGCAAACAGAAAAAAGGGGCAATAATCTATAATTCAGCCTATCACTGAATGTCTGAGAAGCCAAAATATGAAAAAACGCAATGTGATTCTTACTGAGTGAGCGGTATTATTGAGTGGCATTTTTTTTGAGCTACACTTCTTTCTGTCTATTCAAAAAGAAAAACAGTCTAGGCTAGTATTTGAAATAATAAAATTTGGCCAATATATTTATAAAATATAGCTCTTTTTTTTATGAGGCTGGTATTTGAACAGGCACATATTGGTCATTCGGCAACTGAAAGAATCAAAAAAACGAAATAATTTGCTAAATCTTACTGTTTGAGACAAGGTGCAAGGGACGAACATGGCAGAGAATGTTGTTTGAATATGCCATTTTTCACTCCCAGAGAGCCAAAAGGCTTCAAAAATTGTCCCTAAACTGCAGCCCTGATGGGCAGCTGGTGGTAGGGTGAAAGGCAGCAAACCAGCTGATACTCAGCACAATTTCAGTTATACGAGATAAAATGACTTGAAGATGACAGAAGTAAGCTTAATACTCTTAGTAAACAAGTGTGGATAGTTTGGGTTTTTCATTGAGTTGCTTTGATGATGTCTATATACACTTTTGGCAATAAAACACTAAAACATCCAACTATGAGAGAGAACATATCTGTGCTTCATATTTTCTAAAGAACTGTCACGAACAAAAATCTTTGCTCCTTCCACTCCCACCTCCAATTAGATGAGAAGTTAGAATTACCTTTCTGGAACAGGGTGCTTAGGACACAGCTTGGCAGCCCTTGGGTCTGTAGTGTATTCTGAAGGCTGAAGTTCATAGCTGCACAGATTGGATCCTGTTGAGAGGGGGGAAAAAAAAATGGAAAAATTAAATATTTCTACTCTTTGTAAATAATATTAAAAATAATATTGGTCCTGATTCTCTAGTTCCTCATGTTACTACTGCTCTTTTGATTTTGCAGATGTATACTATAGTTAGTTCTGTAATGGAAAACTGAATCAAGTCCAATACAGGTTCTACTGTAACAGAATGACACTTTGCATCTAGCTTTGGGTCTTTATCCTCCAACATTTGACTATTCAGGTGGAAAAGGCTAATTCTCAATCCAGTTTGAAAAAGGAGGACAGTTCTGGGCACTACACACTTTGAAGTCGCCCTTCCCTCCTACTCTGCCAAGTTTTTTCTTGACTATTTTTAGCACTGCAGAATTTAATAAGACAATATTCTTCATTTTAAAAAATCCACTTTTTTAATACTATATAACCACAGCTTATTCAATTCAGAAAGAGAATGAAACTGCTGCTCTGAAGAATAATAAACACATTTATGTATATTCTCAATGTCCAGCTTTTTTGACAAAACAATTTATGCTACTGCAAAATTATGTAATGCGGACATCTTACTGTAGACACCCAAACTTCTGGATGAAATGTGGATATAAACAACTGCAGAATTTTATGGAGGGGCAGCAGTAGAAGAAAAAAGTTATGTATTTATCATCACTTACAAATATAAGGAGAAAGAAAGATTGTAAGTATTTACTTTATTTTGCTTTCAATATTAGCAAAAAACATAAGTTTTAAAGATGATTAGAATAAGAATTTCTACAGTAATGAGTGCAGAGGGGAGACTGTGCATGGACAACTGTATACAGATTCACGACACGGAATTTTTTGTGCAAGCTTTGTCATTTTGTCATTCAACATTATAAGGGTTTAACTGCACTATCGTATGCAGAGGCCCATTCAACCAACAAGCCAAAGAGAAAGGGCTGATCTGCAAAAGGCTGTGCTTTTCTGTGACTTCTAGGAGTTCTGGCAGGAGAGAAAAAAGGAGTGAGGCTTGTTATGCTCCGCACTCTTCGCGCAGATGTTTATCTGAAGGGCTTCTGTTTGTATCTCAGCCCACAAAGGTAAGTCACGCTGAGCTGAATGTCAGATCTGGGTCTGCCCAGAGCTCAAGAGCCATTCAAGTAGGATTTACAGATTAGTGCAGCCCAACAAACCCCGGGCTGTGGAGCGAATCTGAAGACTTGCCAGGTCACTTCGGAACCCAGCTACATACTCCCTCCCGCCACACAACAGAGCAACGCAAACCTCTAACTGCCACTATCATCTTTTGCCTATGAACAGCTCTTGAGATACCTCTGGATCTCTTCCCTTCAGCCGTCCAAATGACAGAGCATGCTTCTTTTGACTCCCAAGAATTACAAAAACATTTTTAAGAAGCTTCTTGCACAAGGGACATTAACCACCGTGCATCAGAAAGAACGACCAGTCCAGTAACCGAAATAAAGCCATAAGCTTTGTATGCCCTTTTGTCCTCCATAGTTAGGCTAAAGACATTTCTACCTGTTCCATAAATACTTAACTCCTTATATTTTGAAAAACTTCTGATTCCAGTGGCAGAGAGTTTTACAACCTAACTCAAACCTAACAACATGTTTGAGTAATGAATATATCATTTTACATCAACCTTAAACTAAGTTTCTTAACAAAACAGCCCCTATGTGTTAACAAACAAAAGAGTGAGTTTTTTTTAAGGTGAGAGTCAGGCATTGCTCTGCCAAACCTTCCATCCCGTACTAGTTATACTCTGGGTTAGTAGATACTTTCTTAGCACAGCCAGTCTTATTTTGGCTGCTTGAGTTTACAAGCCAGCAAGAGCTTGAAAAAGAACTCCAATTACCTACTTTGCTGAGATAATTAATTTACCAGAGACACTACTATTATTCCTAAATTATCATCATTCCCAAATGTTTCAAAAATATTATGGGTAGAATCCAGAGAACCGACTGAAAAGTCATTAAACTCATACATTCATTGCCTTCTACACATGTGCACATATTTCTTCCAGTGAAATCATTAGGCAACGACAAACTGTCCTCGAGAGAAGGGATCCGAGATCCCAACATGTTATAGCCTTGAGGAAAAATACTTCTAACTATGTGGAGCAACAGTTGGCAGGCCAGTAATGGGCACAGAGAGTTTAACTGGTCGGTCACACGGTGCTATACTTGGTGCCTTCAGCTGCTAAACTGTAGTCTGGACATACAACCTAGCTTCTGTCCTACAGTTACTTTTCCATGGATACAGTTGCTTCAGTTAGAAGAGTATTTTGGAGGCATGACTGGGGCAAAGCATCTCAAAGGATACTCCTTCCTTTCAGTCATAAGCTAGACAACCACCATTTTCCCTTAAAAGTCTTCTTTCTATTTTGGTTAAGTTTTGATTGGCAGAGAGCTGAACAGTTATTATTTCTAGCTTTCTTAAAAATACAGCTACAATTAATATAAATTACATAAAGCTGCTAGAGAAATATCAGGACAAAGTGAAGGGAAGAACTCTTACGTGAGAGCTTCAAGTGGTTATGTCTTGTCTTTCTGTATGCTGTGGTCTCTGACTGCACAAGATCTCCAGTAACTTGCTTTTTAATTTAAGCAGCAGCTCCGTAACAGTAAACAGAATATTCCACGCTAAGCTGAGGTAAATTAACTTCAAGTATTCTGAGCATGTTAAGCTCCAGTACAGCACTCCTTCTTGTATTTACTTTGTTACAAACACACACACATCCTACTACATCATGATCACTACCAATATCACAGTTTACAGATTCAGAAATGATAGACCTCATTAAGTTATCTGCTCAGAAGACCAGCCCACAGAGGAAAACAGAAGCATAATACTGCCTGAGTCATAGTGGTAAAAAGCACACCTGGAGACTCGGATTCCATTCTGAGCTGCACAGCCATGCGCATCCACCTCTCTACGTTCTTAGCATGAACTGCAAAAGGGACCTCTGATCTAAAAACATGGACTTTCATAATTTGAGTTAAGGATTTAAGCAGAAAAAAACAAAACCATATAGAGATATATGGGCTAGCTGAGGTACTAGAAACAGAACACTTATTTTTAGCAGTGCGCTCTGCTTAAATTAGGCATGGTTCCAAGCAGCTCAGCATATCGTTTCTCAGAGGCACACAGCACAGCGCACCCTGAGACACTTAGAAGCCACGGCTTTATTAAAGTCATGTGACCTTCTGTGTGTGGTCTCACCTTTAGGAATCTGATCTCAAATAAGCGTGTATTGTGAAAATATGTGATACAGCCAATTTCCTTTAAAAGACAGTAAAATAAAGTAGAGATTATAGCTGGGAAAAAAACAGTATCTTATTCCACCTTAAGCAATCTCTCTTTCACAAGCAACATCCTATTAGTCCATTGATAAATTAAAACCTCTATCATAGTTTTCAAACTCTAGGTAACAAGGGATACGCAGTGCGCAGAAGTACTAGCGTTAAGTGAAACTGTTTCAAGTGCAACTACTGCCCTCTGTATTTGCAGACCAGGGCTGATTCCCCCTGCATTCTGGGTATTTTATTAGCAAGTTTCACCAATTAAAATATAGCTAACATTGTGAATGCATGACTCACATAATTAAATATAGCTAACACTGTGAATGCATGACTCAGATAATTGTGCTTAGTTGTGCTTAATTAGCCTACATAATACAGCTAGAAGTACTGATAGCTGGATATTGACAGAGTTAGAGTTCACTGATATTCAGGAAGGACAGAGCTCTCAACTCTTTCTAAGTTTGAAATTCTTCTCACCTGTGACTTTCCTCACTCCAGTACTTGTCTCGTACCTATTTGTGGAACTACGTCTGCTCTAAACTGCTAACACAACCTACATTTCAAGTCCAGAGCCCCAAACTATGAGACAACTTGGCATACTACTGTTAGCATATCATACAGTTTATCAGTATATTATAGATGAGCAACATGCATAGGAAAAAGAAAGCTTAAGACACTGGCTCACATTATTTGCAGGGAATATTCTGTTGCAAATTCCACAGCCAAAAAACCAGAGAACAGGTAGAATGCCAGTAGTGCTTCCACAGGAGAAGAATCGACTACCATTCTTTGCTGACTTCTGCCAGTAATAAAAAGCAGAGGAGAACAGTGTTGCATGACCTTAGCAAAAGCGTGTCTCTCGGAACTAATAGGATCTTTCCTTCACGCACTCATGAAAGTGCAAAATGGCTCAGATCATCGTAAAAGGAAATGTACTGGTGTTGACCAGACTTTATTCATTCCTTGTCTGCTAGATCTGACAATTGTAACAATATACTGTCAACAACTATGGGAAATAATTCTACTCAGAACACAAGCACTAAGAATACATAAAATTTAAGCTTATCTTATCACACGTTCCTATTTGCCTATGGGTTTTTAGAACAATGAAAATCCTACAGAAACAGACAATTGATGTTTGATGCTTTGTTTAGAAACAAAGTAGCATTTAGGTGTGCAGAAATTAGAGAACAATAAATGAGTAAGAAAACAAGAATTCCACTTCTCTGCCACAGATACGAATACACTCTGCAGCTAACGTGGAAGCACCAGAGGACTGTACAAACATATATACGTATCACAGCTACTCCTTTTACAAGTCATGCGTTTACTGATAAACAGGAACAGAGGCAGAAGGTCAAACAAGGATGGAACTGTAATCTAACACATGGCCCCTACCGGAAATCGGGAAAACAGTGATGTCTTGAGACAAGCAAGATGGCATAGGAGAGACCAACTTGTGGTCAGGACTTCTCAGGTTAGCATGACAGATTTGCTCCCTCAGTAAATAAAGCAACCATCATTCTCCATGGCTATCACTGGTGCCTTTCAGAAACAGTGTGTTTGAAAGGGAGGAACGTGGGGATTTCCTAAACTCCTAGCTGTTGCAGAAGGACATACTATCACTACTTTAAAAGCGTGAGAAGCAGACTCTAAAAGAAATTAAAACTTGTTTTCCTGTACAAACATGGGACTAATAC